GAATTAGAGCGCACCACACAGTGGGGAGTCTGAGAAGGTGATGTTACTCACCAACCAGGCGGGCCGCCGCTTTTCTTTTCTCACCAGCCCCATACCCAACACCTAGGCGTAATGAATGCTCACTTCCAGTTGTAAATAGTGAAGGTTGCTCTCTCTCATCAAGGGGGGAGGGGGATTCTCCATTTTCATCGTCCGTCAAGAGCTGGGCTGAATAGTTCGATCCAGAAGAGACCTCAACTGGCTGTATCAACGCTTAGATCTGCAGTTTTGGTTAGCAGGCGTGTACGCGAGCTTGGCGGGTATGTCAGTTGTTTGTTTTGATTCTGTTTGTTATCGCACTTGTATAGCTAGATCTGAGGTTTTTATTCTTTGTGGAGGTCAGATTCATAGGATGGTAATGTTTTTTGTTGATTAATAGATGGAGGAAGAGGACGAAAACCAAGGGTGGGGAGGGGGAAGGCATGAGCAAATAGGGGTTACAGTTGATGTTGTTGAGAGGTCAGGAGATGATGTGGAGGATCAGACAGGGCTAACCTCGCGGCTGTCAGTTAAGCATGTCGTCGAGGTCATCACAAAATTCGATGAGTACAAAAGATGGCTTGTGTCTGAGATTGGTTTTGAGGGTATGCTTAAACTCCCACTGTTGGGGAAGATGGATCTAAAGATGAGTGCGTGGATTATGCGGAAGGTGAAGGTGAAGGTGCGTGCAATAGTTGTTGATGAACATAGGGTGATTCCTTTTGTGCCAGAGGATTTTCACAAAGTATTTGGCATTCCGTGCGGCAACCGCGCTGTTCGTGGAAGGGATGGCAAAATAAAGAGTGCAGCAGTAGAGTTCATGAAGCAGACAATTGGGATGGATGCATCTCCTGCTCAGAATCTCAAGATGGCAGAAGATTTTCTTAGTAGGGATATATCAGATGAATCAAGCAAGATTGAGAAGGACTGTTTCCAGATTTCATTTGTTATATTTGTGATGGGTTATGTCTTGTCCCCGGGCACAAAGTATGAGCACATGACCATTGATTTTTGGGGGGCTCTCGCCAATCCTGAGCTGATTTCCCAATTTAATTGGTGCGAGTATGCTGTTGATAATCTCATGGCAGCTGTGATGAAGTTGCAGAGGGAATATCACAACAAGGCGCAAGTGGTTCATCTTTCTGGATGCCATTTGTTCTTCCAGGTATGTCATATGGAGAGCTTCATTTAAAATATTACATTTTATTACTATTATTTTGGAAATAACCGTTTTATTTGTTGTTGGAGCAGATTTTCTTGCTAGACAACATTGATCTTGGGATTTTCAACATGATACACTCTGTATTTCCGAGAATTCAGAGTTTTGACTACAAAATGCTTCGGCAGATGATTACGATGGCGCGCTGCGAGCAGCGAGGGAGCATAACATACGTCCCTGGAGCAGTAAGTCACACAGCATTTTTTTGGGTTTGCTGCAGCTTAGTAGTATGCATAAGCCTTTTTATATTCACTGAATTTTTGTCTTGATTTTTCAGATTCGCCCACCAGATTCTGTATGCTATGTGCCTGTAAGTGTGACGAGCGCAATGTGGACGGACGGTATGTCACTTCCATCTTCGTCCAAACAACCATCATCAAGGATGTCTGTCACACGCAAATGTCGGACATCAAAGGTTTGTTTAGATGCAAAGACAGGGGCATTCAACTTTTTTGGGGATCCTATGTCTGCTAATAGGTCAATTGGCCCAAGTGAATTCAGCAAGCATCTTCGACAGATTTCAAAAGATGATCCGGTATTGGTTTATGAAATTTATTTATTTTTTGTATTTTCATGTTTTTGAGACAGTAACTTATCAGGATGGCTGTGTGCAATAGGCCCTGCAGGAGCTGAGTCTCATGTTGAAGCAGCACAATGCCAAGTGCACGCTCGCCGCGACATTGTTGAGGAACCAACTACAGTCTGATATGTTTTGCTTTGCGGAGAAAATGGTCGAACTTGTGAAGGACCGCTGCAGGTGTTGTTCGAATCGAGGATTGTCCAAGTGTACTAGTCTTGAGGATACTGGTCTGTAATGTTCATGTGTTTTTACATAGTGCTACTTATGATTTAACGTCATAAATGTGCCCAAGCTTTTTTTGTTGCATATGTGCCTTCTGAACTTATGTGATCTTTCTCTGTTATGTGCATGTACACAGATGTGGATGGTAATTCTAGTAGGCGAGTTTTCGAAGTAGGCCATCGGCTTGATATGGGTTGTGACGAAGGTATTGTCTAACAGTGTCATTGACTATGAGATTCATTTTTTTTATGGTTTTGGTGCACCGTATGTTATGCCAAATGTTATTATGCTGCTTTGTTTTTCTGTTTCAGTCCATGCAAAGTCAAAGGTTTACGAAGATTATCAAAGAATGAAAAGGATTTGTGTTGAACGAAACAAAAACAAAGCTGGTACAATTTTTTTGTTTGTAATTATGCATGAGAAGTATGGAGGGTGCATGAGCTTAACATATGTATTTGCAATTTCCTACATTTTCGCAGAATCAGGGCAGGGCCAGTCGCGGACGAAAGATGATGTTCCTGTCTACAACAATCCTGTGATAGAGAGAAAACCAGATGATAGGGGGAAGATGTTTGAAGACCGAATTGTAGTCTATGCACAGACTATTGCTGAAATGGTTCAATCTCTATATGATACAGATACGAAGGAGGCAACATTTGTTTATTTTCACTCAACTGAGTCTAAATTACCCAGGCGTAGGAATGTCATGTCGGCAAGCTTTTGCAATGATCCATGGTCACGGGGATGTGTCCCGCAACCTGCTTCAATCCCGTTGATAGGCAAGTTCAATGCATGGATCGGTGGTCAGAAAGACCTTGATTTGAATAGGTATTCAAGCGACTGTTATTTTTGCACTTGTTTGTTAGAAGTTGTGCATCGTATATTAACAAGCTTAAGTTGTCGGGATTTGTTATTTTACTGACATTTTTTTCATAACATTTTAGTGTTTGGTTGCTGCATACATCGCCAAGGCTCTTGAGGGTAAATGTTGTATGTATTCAGCAGCAGATACTTGGATCAGAAGCTCTTGACCATGAGGTTGCTACCCTTCTTTTGCGGCGTTTTTACCAAATTGACACTGGGGATGGAGGAGCAAGTACCTACATGTTGTGGAGGGAAGTTCTTGAACCAGATTTTTCGGTGCGGCCATATTTTACTACATATAATTATGTTGTTTTTAGGCTCATACACTTTAGCAATGTACATTTGTAATGTGAAACACTGAGTTTTTCCGCACAACAGACGCATGCTCTTGCCGGGGGGAAAGTCTTGCATGTGAAAGCTGTACAGGGGGTATTTACACATGCAAATCATGATATAACGACGTGTAGGATGGTAAGCACGTGTGTATGGGGGAACCTTTTTTTATGAAAGTTTTTACAATCACTATCTGATTTAATATATATCAAATGGTGCAGTTTTTCGTACCTGCTGTGTTGGATCAAGGGTGGGCGGCGTATATGTGGGACATGATGAGGAAGGAGATTCATGTCCTCGACCCTATGTGTCAGCAAGCTATGGGTTTAGAGCAGCGTCACTTAATGCATGAAGTGGCAGTCTCACAAATTCATGCTGCGTTATTTGGCTGCTTGAATGAATACTTTGCAAAATGGCATCGCGCTTCTCAAAGTTGGAAGCGGAAGTTCCCGAAGATTACTGATGACTTTTTCACAAGGTATATTGCTGAATTTGAGGATCAATGTATGAAGGCAAAGGAATGCAGTTGTGAATGTCATTTATCCTTTTTGATTTTTTTCAGGGATGAGTCTGGAATATGCATGATCCATGCTATTAGGAATTATAGTGGGGAGAAGATGATGTGTGCACTTACGAAGGTAATTCATTCTGTTGGATTCTATTTCCATCTATAATTATAAATGATTTCATTGTGAATATGTAGCACGGGGGAGTTCAATATGTGGTTGGCTGTCAAATATGCAGAATAATATTGCAAGTTTTAGGAAATTGGTTGCTTATGAGGTCTTCCATTTACGCGATGATCGTGGCGATTTCGTGGCTGATGATCTCCTGCGCGCTGCGTTTGATGAACCTGAGGAGCGATGTGAATGAAAGGGGTGAATGTGCTATTGGAACTTGTTTTTTCAGCAACTAGCACTGACTGATGAATGTGGTTAGATGAGTGTGTCAAATAAAGGACATGCTGAAAATCATGTCCCGTGTATGTATGTATGCCATGTATGCTGGACCATGTGTTAAGTAGTACTGTTGTGATTTTCGTTTATGTGTTTTTTAGGTTTGAAGGATGCGAACAAATATTTTACCGTCTTGACCAACACTAAATGGAAATTGTATGCCCAATGTAAGCGAAATGTTTTTCATGGGCCATTGCACGTGGCAGGTTTTAAGCTTGTTGCTCTTCAAAACGCTTTTTGTGAAAGTTTATATACTGTGATTTAGTCGATTGTGTGAAATGAAAGTTGGATTTTGTAGAGGGGCGTGGGGAGGCGGCGATGGTTACGATTTTATGATTGTTGTCTATAGCAAAGAAAATTTCGAATTTTTCGGTGGGATTTTAATGTAATGTTCCATAGGTAATTTTTTCAGTTTGTTTTTGTCTAGTGTTTCAAAGAAGGGTTGTTTGCCTACAGTAAATATAACATGTTGCCACGTTTTTTTCTTATTATTATGCAATGTAGACAGTGCCTTTCTCAAGTGTTGATGTGCTCATCAAAATCTGACTATTAAATATAACGGTCTTTTTTATATTATAATTTCATAATACCTTTTTAGCAACCAAAGTTGGGTTTTTTTTCGTACAATGTTTTAAGCAGGCGGATATGTTCTTAGAGGAATGGAAGCACACATGTGTTTAAATTTTTGAGTTTTCGTGGCTTGGGGTGGTTTTGTTGG